TGCCCGTGGCCACAATGAAGTCCTGTACGGCAATGATAGGATCGTACTCGGAGCATGATTTTTTTGACAGGGCAAAGGACATGTTTGACGAGATGCCTATGTGGAATATGCTTTCGTGGACATGTATATTAGCAGCATATGCTCAAAATGGGCATCCAGTAAAAACTCAAGAACTTTTCGACTCTATGCCACAACATGACCTTATTTCCTGGACTGCGTTGCTAACTGGTTACAGTTCTCTTGAAATGATACAAAAAGTTTTTGATGCCATGCCTCAAACAAATGTTGTTTCCTGGACAGCCGTTCTTGCAGCATATGCCCAAGAGGGGCAATTACACAAGTCAAAGACTTTGTTTGAGAATATGCCCGAGCACAACCTTGCATCCTCGACTGCTCTCCTATCAGCTTTCTCTCAAGCAGGACACCTTGAAGAATCTAAAAGTATCTTTCTTGGGATGAGAGAAAGGAATTTTGTTTCTTGGTCTGCTATCTTGGCTGGGTATATCCACAATGGCAGACTCGATGAGGCGAAGCACGTCTTTGATGTAATGCCTGAGTGGAACATTCGGAGCTGGAATTCCTTGTTATCGGGATATGCTGCTCTTGGGCATATTGACCAAGTTAAATCTTTATTTGACAAGATGCCTGACCACAATAGAGCTTCATGGAGTTGCCTACTGACTGCTCACCAAAGAAGCGGAAACCTTGTAGAAGTAAGAAGAATCTTCAATTTAATGCCTGAAAAAGATATAATAGCTTGGAGCTCGATGATTGGGGCAAATACTAGCACTGGGTGTTGCAAAGAGGCAGTTGCTTTGTTTGATTTGCTCAAGTGTGTGGATATCCCTGAGCAACTGTGTTTCCTCTCTGTGTTAGCTGCTTGTAGTGGAGAAGGAAACTTAATGCTTGGGAAGACAATCTTTATGTCAATGGGTTTGGACTACAAAATTGAAGCCACACATCAGCACTTCAGATGTATGGTTGATTTGTTGTGTCGAGTGGGTTATCTGGATAGTGCTGAGGAGCTTATAAATTCAATGCCATATGTTCCAGGGGTTGTGGAGTGGGCATGTTTGTTATCTTCTTGTAGAAATTATAAGGATTCCAAGCAAAATTCTAGAATTGGTCAGCATGTTTTAGAGATTCTATCGAGAAGTCATGAAGCATCATATGCTTATTCTTTGTTGTTTAATTCTCATATAGTATAAATTTAAAATTCTCAATATTAAATTTTATATTTTTCTCTTTCTATTCTTCAATTTAATTTGAAATTAAATTAGTGTTAATTATCTAAGATGACATTGAGAATTAAGATCAACATGTACAGAATTATATAAATCAGTGCAAAGAACACAACTCTATCATTTGCTTAAAATGTATGAAAATAAAGAAATAAAAAAAGTAATATTATATAAGTTGGTTTTAAGATAGATAAGAATATCGTTTTAATTAAAAATATTTAAATATTAAATAATATAATAACATTTAAGATCGAGATCTGGGTATGTCTAACATGTCTAGTCTATTAATGATTTTATATCATTGTCTCATAAAGTAGTGAATTTTAATGAATGGTTTCATTACAGGAAATTTAACACTTTGAGCATGTGTGATAAAAAAAGTTTCTCAATAATCTTTGTGATCCAAATTGAGAGTGAATGTGATTAAGCATTAAAATGTGCGTGGTATTGTCAAACTTGTAATAGAGCCATCATGATTAAAAATTCTTTTACATTCTACCACTAGAATCTCCTAAAATGCTAAAAACCACATAATTTTTTTGAGTGTCTAGTGCTCTAAGCATTCATACATGAAATTTCCTTTTGTTTTCCCTCTACTTGATGCATTGCCTTTCTAAAATTAAAGATGGTACAACAAAGTAGTGAAACAAAGAATGTATAGCAAATTTCTCTTTGATAAACACTTTGATTTCTTAAGGAGATTGGGATCAGGCTCATCAAGCAAGGTACATGATATGATACTTTCAAATATTTGTAATACCTATCAAAATAAGTTTTTGAAATTAAAATTATAGTGATTATTGATAGGAAGCCCTTCACTCTCTTGCAATAGTTCTTTATTATGGGTGTTTAGTTGTAAGAAACCAAAAAGAATAACTTGAAAGATCATTTATTAATTTAAAAGGTATTAGGAAAGGTTCATGAATAAGAGTGCACCTTTTTTTTTCATTATTTAAGGTTTTTGAGATATATGGAATTCAACATTCTTGGATTTGAGTGTATGTGACCTCTTGGGACATCTTTACTTTTTAATAAGTGTTGTCACTCACTAATATTCATACCTTTATGTTCTTTATAGTACCCACTTTATAATGCGTGCTACCAAATGTATTTTAGTGCCCAGCTAGACCAAAGTATATTAATGGACCACAAGCATGGAAACTAGAGTTACGTGAGCCAGCTGTGGCATACAACTCTATCCACTAGAATTTCTGGGAAAAGGTTGCAAACTTCTTTCTATACCAGTTTAGGCTAAAAATATGATAAACAAGAAATTTCCTTTTATAATTTCCAAATATCTCCATTTAGCTTCCTATACAGCATACAATGTTATTTGCTTGCAAATTGCTCTTGTATCATTTAGCACTAAGATCACTATATGAAATGGGTTGTGGTTTCAATTAGCAACACCTCATGTATTATATCCTTAAAACACTAAACAAGGATCACTTCCCAAAGAGCAAAAATGTATGTGGTAATAGGTCGAGCAATAGAAGATAAACTGATATCAACAATATCATTTAGCACTTCAAGAAAATTATTCGTAATTCACCACCAAATGTGCTTATATTATCATTTATATACATGCAACATTTGGTAAGCAGTAGCATCCAGTGGGTGCTACTGCTAAGCACCCACTATAACAGACCTACTGCAGGAGGTGAATGTCTACTACAGATCTTAAGCTCAAAAACGTGGGTGTGCATTACACATTGCAGTGTCTCTTGCAAACAAGAATATAGCGTTGATTTGGAGAATGTACAGTGCTGATTTGGAGAATGGAGTCATCTCAGGTTAAATTTGTTTGCCCTGTAGCTTCTCTGCCATAACACAGATCTTAGCACATTGCTCAAATGCTTTCATTTTACACACCTAGCTTTGTTTTTAGCACCATTTGAGTGACAAAATCAATAACAAAGGGCCATATAGCTTTAACACTTGGCTTCCCATTGAATCGGTTGGCTAATACAATGTTTTCTTTGGATAGTGCCAGGTACCAGGTTATGCGGCACTTCACAATGACCAAGCATACCGGAAGAGACGACAGGTGGCTGGGAACAAACTATTGCTTTAGCAATGGCAAACTGAGTCAGTTCTCTTTCTTATTGAGCGATCAGCAGTACAATCATCAAGCTATTCTGGTTTGGTTTAGACATTGTTAGAACTAATACATTTTGAGAAACACAGGATGCAATGGAGGCATAGATGTTCTAATACACTCATCAAACTCGTCCAGAAGCTTTGAAGAAGTACCTTTCTCCAAGTAGAGAGGAATGTGATCAAAACCAACGTCTTGTCTGTTGGAAAAAAACCGCCCTGTTGTAGATTTGGAGGCTGGAAGCAATGCCAACCAAATGACAGTGTCGGCCCCAATTTGAGCCGAATGGCCATTATTCCTTGACATATCTGTGCTAGTCAGACCTGGACACATGCAATTCACAAAGAATTTACCACCCTGTTTAGAGAGATCCCTTGCCAGCACTCTTGAGTAAGCATTCAGAAGAAGCTTTGATAAGCAGTAGTCGTATGCTCCAAAGATCCCGGTCCACCCTTTTACTATAAGTCGGCCATGTTCCACGTCCTCTATAAATTCGCCTACCACTTCATCCAAAGTTTCCATTGAGAGCTTGGAAACCTTTTGTACCACAGTTTGGTTTCGAAGAGCCTAAAGTGCACCAGATAGTTAAGATGCTTGAAGTTATATAGACTTACGTCCATCCGGCTTGTTGCTGAACTCACGTTGATGATGCGAGCTCCATGGTGAGATTGTGATCTCATTAGATGAAGTAAGCACTCGGTCACCATCCGGGTTCCATAGAAGTTCGTGCTTATAACATCCTTGGAACCCTCCACTGTTGGATTGCCCAAGTGCTCATTTCTTGAGATTCCAGCATTGTTGACCTGTAATTAATTTAGTAGTGCCAGAAAGGAGAAACCTCGAACATACCAGAATATCTAAGCCACCAAACTTATTTTCAATCCATTTAGCAAAGTTTTGGATGGATGATGGGCTTCTCACGTCCAAGACGTGGAACTGAAGTGTTGCCGGATTGATCCTTTGATCCTGCTTGAGAGAATTCAGAGCTGCCAACCCTCTCTGCTCGTCTCTGGCAGTCAGGACCGTCATCACGCCCTTGAGTGCCAGGCCTTGAGCAATGCCAAATCCGAGCCCCTTGTTGCTTCCAGTCACCACAGCAATTGTATCTTTAGACCACCATCTTATATTGAAGATTTGGATCCAGGAAGAGCATTCCAAGAGACTAGTCAGGTGATGAAAGAACTTCCTCTAGACACTTACTGATTGCAAGAGTCCACCATAGCTCAAGAAGATACCTATGTGGTTGGAAGTGCGATAATTTATATTTTAATGGTCTAGCTTCATGTGCTTCCAACTGGTGACAAATGACAACTGTGGTGAAACTATTGTTAATCGTGAAACTATTGTTAAGCTGGAACTTCTCAAGGATTTGTCGGTTAGCAGTTAGCAACTACAATCTTTTTCAAAATTTGAATTCAATGAAGGAGACATGGAATTCTAACCACTAAACAACACTGACTTTGTAGAAGATTCTAGTCAATGGGTTCAAGTACCCAAAGTGGGCATTTATTAAAGACAAGGTTTGCTATTCCAAGTCGTCTAAGTGCTTGTGGGATGAGTAAAATGGGATGAGAGAGGTTCGAACTCTCGACCTCAGGATTTCTCAGCGCTTATCATTGTAATAACCATGCTCTCTTAATGATTGATATAACTTATTATCGAGGTTCCATCTTGAAACAAAACCGGAGTTGTGGATCTTTGGTTTGGTAGGTAACCACAAAAAAGAACGAGGGAAAGAGCTTACATTCTTGTGTTGATTTTTTTCTTGTCCAGGTCTCGGTAGCAAGAGCCTGACTCTCGCAAAAGATTAGTTACGTCTTTGTTTGAGGTTAACAAAAATGACTCCAAAGTTTTTTCTTTCTTTCTTTGCTTGCTCTTTTTCTTTTTTTTCCTTGTTATTTTATTTTCTTTTTTCTTTTTGAGGTGATGGTAACTTTTTGAAGGTAGCAGGAGTGATTGGAAGTGCTACTGCTCTTTGCAAAGCCTCGGTACGTTTTGTTGTCTCTCACTTTTGAAATTTTTTTTGTAAGACCTGTGAGCTTTTTTCACCCCATTGCAGGATTAGTTCATGAGCTTGTTGGTGTTTATGCATCAAGTTCATTGTTCTGTTTGCTAAGTTCGAAATTTTCTAGATATCCTGTTTTTGACAATTCTTGGAGGTATATAGTTTCAAGCTAAGCACAAACCCACTGTTACTCCAATGGACCATAGCAATGGTATCGGCCTTAAATGTTACGAGTTTCTTTAGGTTCATTTCCTCTTTTGGTCTTGTAGCAAGATCTCTGAAAATGAGAATTCATTGAAAGAACTTCGCATGCCATGCATTTGGTAAGTGAGAACCAGTCTTTCTTTTTCCTACTTTTACATCTTGTTTTGTGCAGATAGCTTTGAGCCTTGGCATTCTTTACGGCTTTTCTTGTTGATAATATCGTGATGGTAGGTTTTCAGCATTCCACCTGTCGTAGAATCTCAAATTTTTCGTCTTAGCTGAGAAGCATGATACTTCAGGTAGCTTCAAGAAGAAGAAAAACACCCAAGTTGATAAAACCATCCTCTTGATCCAGCTGAGTGCTTGGCTATGGAATGTAGTTGAAAAGAGATTGAGAGGTTTGCGCGACCAAGCTTGTGATAGCAAACACATCAGTAGATGCTCAACAGCGTTCTCAATAGAAAGTCAATAGAAAGTTAAGAAAAACCCCCAATCTTCTAGTGCATGGTGAATCGTCCAAGACTTCCCGAGTTGCCGGATTGGCTGCTGCTGCAATTCAGGTATGGTATCAATATTTTCTTGCTGCTTCTTTGTCTAAATGAGGCTGCTGATGAGAATTTCTTACAGCAAGTGCGAAGATGATGGTTTCGAGCTGCTCCATCGTCAGATTGCAGAGAATAATCACAATCTACAACTGGCAGTTGTTGTTGCGGTTTCTGTATAGTGTTATTCTCTCTTAGAATCAAATTGGTGATCAAAATGCTCGCACTAATATGCTGTTTTCAGTTCAAATTCAAAGTGCCATTGCAACAACTAGGTTGAAGCTGATGAACCAAGTACGTGGATTCTGGTTCGGACTGCTGCGTCCGGCCCGGTGCTTTCCCGGAGAGGGCCGCTTCCCGTGGTCGTCCTAGGCTCTCCTCGGCCGGGGATGCTGATTTAAGAAAGATTTCCAAGATTGATCACGAGCTCGAACTAGTGGCACTTGAGGTACAATACCTGTTCTTTTCTCAAATTGTTCTTTGAGTAAATATGCTCTCAAACATCAGGATGGCTTCTTGAATGATGAATAAAGCATATGGTGAATATATGATATAGTGTAGAAAAGTAGTAAAAAGTACCAAGCCACCTGGGAGAGAATTTTGCAGAAGGTGCAAAATCCTAAAATCCTGGAGCATCACAAACTGTCCTGTGGGAAAAGGTCATCCCATCAGAATTGATCACGCTGTCCCTTGTACTTGCACATGGTGGCAAAAAGGTGATTGGTTGCTACACAGGTTGCTCATTGAGTTTGAGAAGATCCCATGCCCAAGCTTAAAGCTGGACTTAGCTTAGCTATTCAACTGGGGGTAGTAACTACTACTCTTCATATGATGCACCTGTAAGAGCTGGAGGAGCCATTGTGTGACTTACCCAAGGAAAGTGTAACCATGATTTGAAATGAGGATTGTAGGGACGCTGAAGTGGCATATGATGTATTTGTAAATGAAGTGTGCCATGGAAATCTAGTCAGCATGCTGAAAGATGGTCTAGTATTTACAAGTTAAAAGATTTGTAGAAGATTTGCAAAGAATTGGGGAATCTCATCAACATAAAAGCAACTAAGCCTGGGTAGGGTATAAGCTATGTTATATAGTAAATCTTTTAAGTTGAACCAACAGACTTCACAATGTAATACAAAATAAGCATTACATTTATTTGATCCGGAAATGATGGAGAAGCAAATGCATGTTAGCATTTTGTGGCTAATGTGTATAAATCAATGCAATTATAGTAATTATATAGTAAGGCGTTGTTATTTGTTGTTGTTTTTTGTTACTACTAGTGTTCTTTACTATCTCAAAATGTGAAATTCTAATATTGGGGGTTGTTTTTCCAAGAATAGCATATATATTTAGCCACCTTTTAATGTCAAAAGCTACTTTGGTAATTTATGACATGTATATTATTGCGAGACATGGGAGGGAAAAATCTCTAAAATAACTTTACAAAAGAGTTTAACCTTATCAAAGTGGACATAAACAAGTTTTGGGAGATAGAAAGTGTCATTTATTTGAGGTAGGTTTTACGAAGAGACAAAGTGTTTTTGAAGAGTGTCATAGCTAAATTAAGCTCATTTTCACTCTTGTTTTTTTCTAGCTTTTAGCTCTTAATGCCCTTAGGTTGTACTTAACAAATGAGCAGCTTTAGAAGGAGATTTTCAATAAAGTTGCTTTACATTTTATAGAATGTCATAATATGATGTGTGTGTGTGTGTGTTTTTTTCTGTATATATATGTTTGAGTATATATATGTATATGTATATGTATATGTATACATATATGTCTATATGTACATATATGTGTGTGTGTATTATTGATCTTTCTATAAAAAAAAGTTTGAAAACAAGTTATGTAGTCACATAACAGCATTTAAGGGCTTCATTCATAGATTCTCAAACAAATAAGAAAAGAAAAAACAATTGTCAATTAAATCGTTTTGCAGGGAGATGTGTTTCAGTGACGACACCATTGCTTTTTGATAGCTTTTACTCACTTTGGTTCTTTCAAATCACCACCACTTCTACGATAATAAGACTCTTTGTAACTTGAGAATCCTTTTTAACACTGATGAGGTGTTTTTACAGGTATAATCTCGGTTGATTTTTCTACTGACAAAGAATTTTCCTCGTCTCTTCCTTTGGCGTCAACATCGCTGACTGGAGCAGCGTCGTGACTTAGGCGGTGAGCTTGACGAGAAGAGTTCTCAGACTTTCGCGGAAGCTGGCTCTTGTTCTTGAAGGGAATGTTCACCAGAATAAGAGTGAGGTGGCAAGGTCAGATTTTTCTCATTCTCGCAGCAGCAGCAGCAGCAGCCGAGCAAGATGGCAATGGCAGGGGGGTATTTCTCCCATCTCGGTTCTCTCATGGGCTTCATCATGATCCTCAACCAGATAGTTCCGCGCCACGTCTGGTTCCTTCTGGAGCTCAAGCTCAAGAGGTTTGTCACTTTGCTATGGTGGGAGACAGAGCTCTCAATCCCAGAGTACGTCCGCAACAACACCAACGAGATCTACGACCTGGTCGACCTCTACGTTGCTCACCTCACCGACACCAACACCAAGAGCTCGGCAAACAGGATCCAGTTCACGCGAGTGAAGAACGCCAGCAAGCCGAATTGCAACCTCACCAGGGGCGAGCGAGTGGAGGACAAGTTCAAAGGCGTCACATTCTCCTGGGTCTTCAACGTCACCGAGCCCTCCAACGGCGGAGGCTTCAGCTATTTTGATCGAAGTGGAGGAACACAGCGAGAGTACGTTGTCCAAGTTCACAGGAGGCACAAGTATACACTCTTGCCCGAGTACATGAGGGAAGTGATCAAGCTCGGAGAGAGCTTGAAGCACCAGAACCAAGACCGGCAGCTCTACACCAACATAGGAAGCTCGGACGACTACAGGAACCAGCCGTGGAGATCGGTGCCTTTCAAGCATGCCTCGACGTTCTCGAGCCTGGCGCTGGATCCCGAGCTCAAGAACAAGATCGTCCAGGACCTGGATTCCTTCATGGCTGGTAAGGATTTCTTTGAGAGAGTTGGGAGGGCTTGGAAGCGCGGGTATCTCTTATACGGGCCTCCGGGGACTGGGAAGTCGTCACTCATCGCTGCCATAGCAAACTACACGCAGTACGATGTCTATGACATGGAGCTGACGGAGGTGAAGAGCAATGCCGACTTGAGGAAGCTGCTCATGGGGATTTCCAACAAGGCGATTATCGTGATCGAGGACATTGACTGCTCGCTGGAGCTCAAGAAAAGGGGAAAGCCAGCGCCGGAGGAAGAAACCAGGGAAGAGTCCAAGGAGAACGATGGAGCGTTGCCAGGGAAGAAAGCCAAGAAGAAAGATGAAGAGAGCAGCAGGGTCACACTCTCGGGGCTACTGAATTTCATCGATGGGCTGTGGTCTTGTAGCGGGAGCGAGAGGATCATCATCTTTACGACAAATCACAAGGAAGATCTGGATCCCGCACTGCTGCGGTCGGGCAGGATGGACCTTCACATTTTGATGGGCTACTGTGGATTTGAGGCGTTCAAGGTGCTGGCGTGGACTCACCTTGAGATCTCGCAGCAGGGCGAGTTTGAGAAGGAGTTTGGAGAGATCGAGGAGCTGATCGCCAAGGTTGAGATCACTCCTGCTGATATCGCGGAGGCGTTGATCCAGAACAGGGGGAACTCGAGAGGGGCTCTAGAGAAAGTGATTGAGGCTCTTCGGGATCGAATGGAGCAGGGGGCGAAGAAAGAGGGAGAAGAGGGGTAAAAATAAAATACCCTAAACATTGCACTAATCGTAATTAAACCAACATTTAACTATAATAAAATTCTTTCTTAAAGTGGGGTGAGATGCTCGAACTCTCGACCTTAGGATTTCTAAGGAGCTAAGCGCTGACCAAATGAGCCACCATCTCTTACATCTTATTCAATCAGTAAACTCTCTTAATGATCGACATAGCACATTTCTCGTTTTTGTTCGTTAGGCTTTGATGTCCAAAACCCTCTTGAGATGAGCGACTTGTGGCTCTTTCTCTCGAATGGATCGCTTCGTCAGTGCCCAGGTAAGAAGAAATAGAAATGGGGGGAAAAGCTTACATTCTTGTGTAGGCTGCTTGTTTCTCGGTAGGAAGGCCTCCCTCTCAAGTGGGCTTTTAGTTTCCGGCAAACGAAGTGCCCAGCTATGCTGGAAACGAAGACTCTCGCAAAGGATTCGTGCTACGTCTTTGTTTGAGCTCAACGAGAATGACTCCAAAGGTTTTTCTTCTTTTCTTTGTTCGTTTCTTCTCGAGATTGTTTTCTTCTCAGGTGGTGGTGGTAACTTTTTGAAGCTAGCGGGAGTGATTGGAAGTGCTACTGCTCTTAGCAAAGTCCTGGTAAGTCTTGTTGTATCCCTCTCGTGTTAAAAATGTTTTTCATTCTTTGCAAGACTTTTGAGTTTTTTCTTTTCACCCCTTTGCAGGGATTAGTTCGTGAGCTTGTTCTTGCTGCTGTATTTGGTGTTGGTCCTGTCGTAGATGCGTTCGGGTATGCATCGAGTTCATGGTTCTCTTTGCTCAGTTCGAAATTTTGTAGATATGCGTCCATTGTACCAGGATTTTTTCTGACAATCCTTGGAGGTATATAGTTTCTAGCTGAATCATCAAGAAAAACTCACCGTTAATTCTGACAGGAATCAATGGACCAATCCACATAGCAATGGTATCGGCCTTAAGGTATGTTTCGAGTTTCTTTAAGTTCATTGTTTTCATTTTTTTTTCTTCCTCTTTTGGTCTCGTAGCAAGATCTCTGAAGAAGACAGAAAACGAGAAGTCATTGGAAGAACTTCGCATGCCATGTTTGTGGTAAATGAAAACAAGTATTTGTTTTTCCCCTACTTTAACACCATCCTCTTTTTTATCAGATATCTTTGAGCCTTGGCATTCTCATGTACACATTAGCGGCTTTTCTTATTGATGCAATCGCACCAGGGTAAGTTTTCAGCATTCCTTTCTGTCGTAGAATCTCAAAAGCTTTCCAAACAGATTGTTATTGAAAACAAGCGGTGGATTGATCACGAGAAGCATGGCTATACTTCAGGTAGCTTCGGAAGAAGAAAAACTCTCAAGTTGCAAAAACCATCCTCTTGATCCAGCTGAGAATCATGGCGCCTTGTGTAACACTCGCGTGCTTGATGGGAATTGGCTATGGAAGTTTGAGGTACCAAGCTTTCACGTCCAGTTTGTAGCCAAACTTTGGAATGGGTTTTCGTGTGCAGTGCCTCGGGAAGATACGGGATTGCATCCTTGAGTCCTGCTCTATCAAGCATATCGATCATTCTCGCTGTAAGTTTTGGTTACAAGACAAGAGATTCGTGTATTCTTGACTGTATTCTTGGCTCCATGCAGGCTGCGATTCACTGCAAGCTTTGCGATCCTTTGAACTTAATGAATGGTTTGCTGCATTGCCTTGAGCTTGAAAGTCGATTCGTACAAAAGCTTCGTTTTTGGTACTTGACAGGAGGTGTTTTACTCGCTTTGGCCTCGACAGTGGGAGCTTTGGCTCAATGGCTTTTGCAGGTTGGTATCAACTCTTTCGATAGTTCTCGCATTTAAGCTTTTCTTTCGGATCAATCAGATCTTTGCTCAAGATGATCGAGGTCGTGTAGTTTTGAGATGGGAAAATCCTTTTGCAGACAAAGATGTCAAGGAGGTATGAAGTTTTATTTTTGCTATATAGTCTTTCATGTCTTCGCTCTCAGGTGTTGTTACTTATGATGCCTGCGACCATATCCTCCGGAATGCTTCAGCTCGCTACTTACACAGACCTTTACTTTGCATCATACTTTCCAAACGCTGCTGCAGCTCTCGGATGTAAGCTCGCGAAAAACAAATATCAAA